AGCCAACTCACAAGACGAAATTAGGTTACCAGTAAACCGCCATTCATCAGTAAAAATCGATGGCTGCACAAGGAAAAATGTTAGCAACACAGTTGAAGATTACTTGCAGAGCTAGTGATGAAAGGGTGAATCCTTCTGATTTTTCAGCTGTGTTTGCTATGCAAGCCTGTAGCCCCAGCACTGCCTGACAATAAAAGGATCAAAAATGCAAATGCCTAGCAATGTATCAAGACCCAATCTTATGAAAAAGTTTTTAAAAATTTAAAAATAGTTTTAAGAAAGGGGGGCCCGGGGATTTAGCTCAGCGGCATAAGCACCTGCCTTGCAAGTGAGCAGTTGCGAGTTCAATCCCTGATATCAAAAAAAAGAGAGCATTGTGGATGTAACTCAGTGTGAAAGCTCTGGATTCAGTCTCCAATACAAAGGGGGTGGACGGAACATACTTCTGGCTTTTCCTGCTACAGTCAGCCCCTTTTGGTACTTTTTGTACATACGCACCTATCAAAAAAGTCCAAAGAAGTTCAGGAAAATGGTTACTTACACAGACATTAAGTCAACACTATCCATAGCATGACTTCAATTCTGCTTTTATCTACATTAAATACGAAGCAAAGCAATAAATCCCACTTTTCACTTGAGACCATCTTTAGTTTAAAAAGTTCCTGTGGTCCTCTGTCCGCGGTTGTAAAGGCATTCAACACTGTTGTTGTCTGAATGTCTGTTTGGCTGCCAATGGACTGTCCCCAAAGAACATTTTTGCATTTCAATAGACTGCCCAGTATCAACAATCTTTCAACTATAAATTTAACGCCTGCTAAAGAAAGCTGGAAATAGCACCTACATTGTACCATCTCGGTATCACATTTACAAACGAACAGATAGCCAGGCTGCTTCCACTTATCTAGCATCACAGGGTCTCAAATGCCCGATAAACATTAATTAACCGAGCTGCACAATACTTCTGAAGGCTGCGGTAGCATCCTCTGCGGGAGACAGATGGACTGAGTTCCTGGGAGGCCTCCCTTTGACAGTCACTGGCTGAGCTTGGGGTTCCAGGCAGAACTTGGAACTAATTCCCATAGGGCCAGGGCTCCACATCTCCCCCAAACCAAGCAATGCAAAGCTTGGAGGTCAAGACTGACAAAAGTCCTACGAATACTCTACACAGGCAACCAAAATCGGCTTCTAAAAGGTTGATTTTTTTTTTCTCCTCCAGGTGCATAGAAGAGTGGGCTACTCACCAAAGGGTTAGAGCCCCAGGAAAAATTAGAGTGCCAGAGTTACATGACTCTGGACTTTGTTTTAACAAACAACATGGGCTGCTTCACCTGAATGCTGATCTGCCTTAAGTTCCTCCTACCAATTTAACCATTAACTGTAGAACCTTTTAGTAAGAGATGAAAATTTCATTTGATACCTACAAAATTTTTGACAAACTTAATGACCTCTTATTTTGACTCTGTTCATGCTTTTAACCAGATGAACAACTAAGCTTTCTGTTCTAAAATTCAATTGAAAAATTCTACAAGAATAAAATCCAGAATTTGTTATCCAGTAGTAGTGATAATAATAAAATTACGCTGTATATGATTTTGCCTAAAAATTAATATTTTGTATAAACACACATTATAGAAGAAACTGGTAAGAAAAAGACTCAAAGCTAAGTGAGTCCAGACCCACTACTTAGTTTACAATGAAAAAGAAATACCTTTCAGCATAGTTCATGTTCAGTGGTCACACATTAAATACATTCACCTCTTCACACAGCCCTATTTCATATCTAAATAAAAATGCTTGGTTTTGAAAGTATTTAATTTTAGTGGCCACTTTCAGGTGGCTATTTATGTGTTACACGATCTATTCTAGACGACTTAAAACAACATAAATCCAAGTTTTCACAAGAGCCTGGACTATTTCTAGCACAGATTTTAAAGGCTTTCACATTACTTCTTATTCAGGAATACGCAAAGGTTTTATAGAAGAACAGAGTGTTTAACCTGCAGCAAAAGCCTAATTTGCATAAAGCAATTAATAAAACACAAAGCCCAAGCCAGTGTGTTCTGTGTCACACTCAAAAGCACAGAGGTCAACAGAAGGGACAAGCACAACTTAAAATTTTTTTATAGCAAGACTGCTTTCACACTAGCATGAGGGAAAATACAGACATTTACTAAATGAAAATACCCATAAGTGGCCTTACATTTAATGCAAAACAAGGGACACATGGTGACACAGGCAAAAATGGAGAAAAGCACTAATGTTCGTTAAGGGAACATTTTGAAATTTTAGCTCTTGTGATTTTTTATACTGTCTTCAGTTTCAGGAGTACAGCAAATAGTCACCATCGAACCCAGTTTAAAAAGAGGAAAGTATCAGAAAAACTACTCTTCTGAAAAGCACCCTGGAAGTTACATTTTCTGTTACAATAAATTGAGCACATTTTATTACTTATCAGCATAGCATTAAATTATTTATCAATGTCTTTGTGACATTTTTCCACACTTAATTCTTGATTTCAGTATTTAAAGATGACTGTTTTTTCTCTTCATATTAGAAATTATATGTATAAAGTTAACACTAATATAGTTACTTTATTAATGCTATGCTGCATGTACTATTTAATAAGAAATTTATCTGAAGTCTGATACTTTCTAGTTCTTAAATTTCTCATGGCTACATTTCCAAATAAACATATCCATCAGCAAAGGAGTTATTTCAAATTCTCTCCCACTATTTAAGTCAAATATAAATACTCTATATTTACACAGACAACTGTACTTTGCTCAAAACATGTAGACTGTATTTATCATTTTTATTGTGCATTTATAAATTATTACAGGACACTGTGTCACTGAACTAGACCTTTACAACTACAAAAATTTAAGTGCATTATTTTGTCTTCAGTAAACATCACAGTAATATTTCACTAGGTTTTACCTTATGATGGAGGGTGATGAGTTGAGAAGACTGTATTTGCTATGGTAACTCAAAAATAACAAATTTCCACCACCAAAGTAGAATTTGTATGAAATTCACCACCTCAATTTTCTCAGATGTATTAATAGCTAATATGCATACACCTCAAAGCTTTTTGATTCAGGGCCAGGGAGGTAGCTCAGCAGTACAGCGCCTGCCTAGCAAGCATGAGTCCCTGACTTTAATTCCTAGAACCCAAAAAGGGAAAAAGAAAATTAATTCAGCTATTAAACTAAATTTTGCCCAATCAATCAACCAAATTAACCACTCTTCCTAGTCTTAATGTCCTATAAGTACATTTAGAGGCTGCCAATCACAGGGTGTATGGGGGGAGATAAATGTTGGAAAGTATCATCACCGTCATCACCACTGGTCTCCTTAGAAAATGTAACTATGTCACTCGGGTTTTTACTTTGCAGTCAAGTCAGTTATTTAGTATTTCACATTCTCAGGTACACAAAAGATGACAGAAAAAGAGGTGTGCTACAAACAAGAAGAGTCAAACAATTTGGCATGAAATGTAGACAGCAGTGACAAAGCCTGGATGCCCCTGGAAGGCAGCAGAGTGCCACACTCTCAAGTCACAGTGCCACATTAACTGGTGGAAGACCTGTGCCTTACCACCAGAGGCTTACGTCTCATCCCAGCCTCCCAACCAGGAGCCAGGGTCCCCGAGACCAGAGGGACAGGGCGAGTGAGAAAATAAGGAGCTTTCCAGTTCTACAAAGGCAGCTCCACAAGGCTATTTGAAGGAAGTTCACTGCATTGAACCCCATCTTGAAAGACACCGGAACTCTTCTCCTGCCCCCCTAGTTACTACTAATAAACTTGCGCCTGCCCTGCAGAAAGGGTTTTTCGTTTCTTACGGGGCCATTCCAACCTTCCCTTAGCTCTGGGCATGGCTACAGGCAGGAAAATAACTGCTCCTGCAACTTACTGTGCCCCTCCAAGGGGCAGCCCTCACCCCCACTCTGGATTCCCTGAGTAGCAAAGCTGGGCTTCAGAGAACCTGCAGGAAAGCAGGCAGCCAGACCCGGAGAACATGGTGCTTCTCCCCAGCCAGACCTCAGTGGTTTCCCACCAGCCGTCCACAGCCCTGGGCTGTCTGAACTCTGTCTCCTAACTGGGAGTTTTGTGCAGGTTAGCTAGTTTCTGACTCCACTTTTGAAGTATGAACAAAGCTTCGAAATCACGGCCAAGCTCAAAACTTTCTTGGCATTAAGGTAGAAAGACTGAAATTGTGGTGCCTCAGGCAAAACTCAAGGATCACTTACTGGGAACTTGTGAAATTTCAAAAATGAAATGATTTCCTGACAGAGTTGAGTTTATAGAGCATGAAGAGAAGAAATGGAGGATATTATTTTACCAGGAGGTCTTGTTCTATTTTTCCACCTGGAATATCGTCTTTTCCCATAAAAACGCCTGATAGTATTAAATATGTACAATTCTTTTTTCAGCGGTCTTTGTACCATTCACGGTTACATTTTCCTTGTTGTTTTCACCCATCCTGGCAAATAAACAACCAACACCATTCTCCATGCACGTCTATACTAAGGACTTTTTTCCAAAATACCATGGTATCTGCGTCTTACCCAGGAACTCGCTTCCTCTGTGACTTCTGCTAACTTCCTTATTAATCATGTACTGTGTCACACCACCTTAAAATGTGAAAGCCACCGAGTTATTTTAATGGAACAGATGTGCACCTTCTGGGATTCCAAACCTCCTTTTTCCAAAGGCAGCTTTGTTATTTTGCATAACCACCAGGAATGATTAACCCGTACTCAAGCCGAGCTGAGAGCAGAGACAAGCAAGCCACTGCCTACCACGGCATCAGGGACGCGTGCAGGACACACAAGCCCACAGGAGTTAACTCTGTGCCACTTCGCCCTTATAGATGTGAACTGCTGAATCTGAATCGCATTTCATTCCTCTCCCCCAATAATGCTGCAAATAGAGCATGCATGACTCCCCTGAGCTCCTTTCCAAGTATTATAAACTACTGAAAAATTAAACCTTCCTACCCGTAACAGGGACTGGGACTCGTCCTTGGACTTGCTTTCTCCGGACGCTGGGTACTGCTGGGTGAGAGCCCCAGCCTTCTCGCCACCGGCCGGCACCCCCTGCAGGAATCCCTTGGTCTCCACAGCCAGGCCATAAATGGGTCGCGCCAGGTGGGCAGCTTCTACACTGGGGCTGTCCCTCAGGGCCTTCGTCTGCTCTTGGGCGCTGGACACAGGCGCCAGGAGGCCCAGGCTGGCCTGCGTGTAGGACGGACTCCCTCGCAGGATGTCGGCCCCTCTCCACGCCACGCCCCGCAGCTCTTCGCTGGAACTCTCTGCCCAGACCTTCTCTTTGAGCCCGTCTCTCTCCTCCAGCTTCTCCCGCTTCACCGCGCTCTCGCACACCGGCTCTCCCATTTTAGAGTCTGGGTTTAGCAGACTGTAGACCTTGAGGTCCATCTTGGGCTCCTCCTTGATGGTGGAGACGCCGTGCCCGTCCTCCTCGCCGTTGGCTGTAGTGATGTCCTGTTCCTGGCAGTGAACAGTGTTGAAGTGCTCCAGTAGTGACTGAGTGTCGCCAGCTGTGAAACTGCACTGACGGCATTTGTAGCAGCTGTGTGCTCTCCTGGAAGACAAGGAAACGGTCAAGAGAGACTCGGCATTCGGAAGGGCGTTGGAGTTCTTCTAAACAATCTTTAACACCTGAATTCTATCTCAAGCACTGTCATGAAATACACGCAGACATGGGAATTTAATTAACTGGCATTTTCTGTTCTGTATAAAGAATGTGAACTTCCCTTTTGAAACATTAGCAGTAACAGGTACACACATATGCACGCGCACACACACACACGTTATGTGCATATATTCTAAATAACATTAATACTGGTTGATTGGCTTTGTTATTGAATCACCTGCTCTATCTGTTTTATCTCGGTGGATAATCATCAATTCTATACCAGTTAAGTCGATATCCACAAGTATTTATACGTGACTTCATCAATGAACTTTTCACTTCCTGTTTGGTTAAACTAACGTGAGCATTTTCTTCACATAAATACACATTTCCAGTGCTGAATTGCTTTGAATAGCTTTTCAATACATTAAAATATACTCGAAGTGATTACAGTGTTTTTTTCTAGTATGAATTTAAATCTGGTTACTGGATGAAATATGGTTATCTGATCTACATAACCTAGAGAGTAAGATGTACTAAAAACCCAGAACTTTTCTATAGAAATACTAGCTGTCTATAAGGACAGATATACATTCAGCAAATTAAATATTTACTGACCATCATACAGCATAATAATTTCCTGCACAGATATGTTCATTAAAAGGATGTACAGTGTCTTCTTTTTTAACAGCATAAAACAAGGAAAAAAACTCATTGTCAAAATTCACAACATCTCTGCTGTTAATGAAAGCACAGTAACTATTACATTAGCACTAACATTTGATTAACAAAGAACAGAGATTCTGTACTGCAAAAATCATACCAGAAAGGTACACAAATTGCAATAACATAAAAAAAAATTCGTAATTGGATCTCTAAGTAAATACTTACTTTGTATAATGTTAGGAGATACCAGCAAAATAACAACATGAATTTCATGAGCTATTGCTGAAAACCACTGTAGGATATGTAGTCATATACGTTTAATTTTACATAATCATCCAAGTATTAGTTTGTCAGGAACACAGTACTTGTAAATAAAAGATACATTTTCTCACCTATCTGGTGATTACAGTCTCTCCAAGATTGCTTCACTTAAGATTATATGTAAATATGTATGTAAAAAGAACAAAATATACTAAAAATGAAACGGACAGAGCAGGGGTTGTAGGGTGGCTTAGGGAAATCAGAACTTTCTGGGCCAAGTATTTAAATGCAAAGGTTGAAAAGTAGCTGCTCTTGTTGGAGGCAGAGAAAAGGATAAAGAGCACATTCTAGAAAGTCCGGGATACTGAAAGAGGTTATTTTGTCTAGAGAATAATAAAAAAAAAAGAGGAGGAATGCAAACCTACAAGCTAGACGGTCATCTAGAGCATTTGTTCTTGGCCATGGTAAGAAAAAAGCAGAAAACCAGGTCCTGGGGTACGAAACACAGTCAAATGACCGTTCCAATCACTTTAGGAATGTGACAGTTTCTGTATTAATAACCTTGTTCCCGTACACTCATGCATGATGATGGAAATTCCAAAAATGTTTATATTTTACAGAAGTAAAATTCAAAGATAAAACCAAATCACAAGGAGGATTTGATGGAGTTGCACATTATTCAGAGCTCCTATTTGGCTGAACAATATGGATATTTAACTCCACTTTTTACAGGAGACCGTCTTCTATCTTTTCTTCTGTTTTTTTCATTGTTTTAGTAGTACAGATAAATACAAGCAACATAATTGGTGATAACTAGCAGAAAACTATCGTATTAATTTTCCAAACAAAGATAATTTCTGACTAACAGTAAGATTTGTCACCAATGTCAAGGCTTTTCTAAGTCAAAAATATGATTAACCTCACAAAGGAGAATAGATACAACCTAAATCCAGGACTGGAATTTTTGGAAACTTCATCTAAAGAACCCTCACAGTTTAGGATAATTCAATGGGAAATAAGCTCATAAATCCAAAATCGTACAAAAATCATTGTGCTTCTGGGGCCAGAATGTGCAAACACAAAAATGTATTTATCAAAATGGGTAAAGCCCATTTTGATAGCCCATCAATAAGATAGCTTATTGATGATAATGTGTAGACTGACTCATGAAAATTTAAAAGTAAACAAACCCAACTTCAGAAAGTTTCTCAGCAAACTCCGAGTCAGTCCTAGTGAACTCCATCTCCCACCTCAGCAGTGAGTATCTGGTTTCCTGACTGGCTGATACCTCTGCTTGAGACTGGAATGGGATTCCTACCTATAAATTAAAACTACACCATTATCACTTCTACCTGGGGATTCTAGTGAAAAATTTCCAAAAGACTACAGCAGTCCCATCTTCTCAGACAAAGGCTGGAAAAACTAGGACAGCAAGAAAGAGAAAGTATCAGCATGCTAGAGAGAAATACAAAGTTCTAGGGCACTGCACGGCAAAGTGAGTTTTAAAAAGGGGAAGACTAGGGTATGGTCCACTGGTACAGCGCTTCCTGTGTGCACCCAGGGCCCCCAATAAATCTCCGGGAACAGCAAAAACAATATGGGCAGAAAAAAGGACAGACATCTAGCTTTTGTTAGAGAAACCTTCAGCAGCACACTGAAAGGTGTGGATTAGGGGGCTGGGGATTTAGCTCAGTGGCATAAGCACCTGCCTTGCAAGCAGGCAGTCGTGAGTTCGATCCCTGGTACCGATAAAAATGAAAAAGACAAAAAAAAAGGTGTGGATTAAACCAAACACCAGAGTTCTGATCTTGACTCTGTAGTTAATGATACACAAAATCTCAAATAATGTACTGAATCTTCTCAATGTCCTCCTGTGAAGTAAAATAACTACATTTTGCTACGGTTCTTGTGAATACTAAATTTGAGTAGTTGCTAAGTAAGTAAAAGTCTATCAGTGCAATTCTACAATTAAGGCCCCTCACCTCTGTGAATCTGCATTCTGTACTCTTGTAAAACTGTCAGCTCACAACCTGGTATGAAGGCATCGTTGGGTTTTTACATTTCTTTTCCATACCTCAACCACAATGAGCACCTTCTTTCCTTCCTTCCTTCCTTCCTTTCTTTTGCTCTCTTTCTCTATGTCTCTCTTTCTTTTTTTAGGGGGGAGTGCTGAGAAAGGGTCTCACTATATAGTTCAGGCCAGTCTTAAATTCCTCTGTGTAGCCCAGATGGACCTTGAACTCACAGCGACCCTCCTGCCTCAGCCTCCCGAGTGCTGGGGTTACAGGCGTCCAGCTGCCTTCCCAGAGAGCATCATTCTAAAAGCCAAGCTTCGTCGACTTATTTACTAAGTGAAATTTTTCCTCTAAAATATTGCTCACAGAATGCATTTGAAGTCCTTTTGCTTTATCTAATTGTATGCAAAGGCCTCAAAGATTGAGCATTTTGCAATGAATCTTTATTTTCCTCTAACAATAGTCAAACTCCATGTTTTAAAGAGTCTAACAAATACAGTGTATTAGAAGGGCACTCCCTGAGTTTTATGAAAGCCCTAGGAGACAAGGATTGTGTTGTAGGCACCTTCATTACTGTAGGTCAGAATATGACATACCTACTATTACAACCAGGTGATTGATATTACAGAATTGGCATCTGCTTAATTCTCCAACCTGGAAGACACTGGATCCCCCGATTCTCCCATGATTGCACGCAGTCTTTCCCATTATTTGATCTGCACCTGCTCCCAACTATACAAAGTCCTGAGCCCCACCCAAAATGAGTTCATCACTTGTATCAATCCCATCTCAGGGTCTGGGACTTCCAGATTTCCTAGTTTAAAGTTCCTGCTTCAGTTTTCCCATTGAAAACTCCTCCGGGAGGTCCCAGCAAGAGACCCTCCTATCTGCCCCACAGAGCAGCTTTTGATTCATCCGACCAGGACAAAACCATCTGTGAGAAGGTGCCAGAGCACTGCAGAATGCAGGGAAAGCAGAAGGCGGGCAAGAGAAACAGAGGTTAACTTTTCAGTAAGGACCAGGTTTTAGATGGAAAAGAAAAACACAGTTTAGTAGGAAAGATAGTAAAATAAAGTTGTAGAAACAAACTCAACCCGTGTATTTTGTCTTTTGAGTGTGCAAAGCATTTGCAAGTATGTGCATTCAAGGCACTGAAGGCTAAAGCCCACTTTACAGACAGGAAAATGGAAAATTAGTGCCCTGTCCACTTGTGGACAAGAATCTATCTAAAAAACCATGAGTAGACACTTACGATTCTAAACAATCCAATGAATAAGCTCACAGCCCTCTCCAGCCCTAAGACCAGAGTGAAGTGTGGACCAAGCCCTTTCTATCCTAGTTCTTCAGAGTCTGAAGAGTCCGCTGCGACCACCACTCAGCAAAGAGTAAAGCTTGAGTGGGAAGCAGGAAATTGCTCAGCTACTCAGTCTTTCGGGCCACTGAACACTACAGTGAAGCAGAAGAGGCATTTGCTACAAACACTTTCAAGACGACAGTTCCTCTCTCCTTGTATCAGTCCTAAATAAAGGACAGAAAGCATATTAAAAGGACACTACTTTCAGAAGTCAGAAGCTGTATAAACTTTTCACCAGCCAATGCTAACACCAAGAGCAGTGCTCTGCAAACTCCACCATGCCTAAGAATCACCTGAAGATCTTGCTGAAAAATCCTGACTCTGGAGTCATGGGTGCAGTCTGGTTGTGTTTAATGAACAGAGGAAATCGATGCTCTTGGTTCTCAGAGCAAGCTATGGTTCTTGGGAAGCAAGACCCACGTAGCCATGGTCAGAAATATTCAGGATAGGTAAGAATTAGTTTGCTGTGAACTCAGCCTTTTGGGGAATATTTGCAAATCAGCTTTTTTAGAATGAGCATCATCACTTTCCTTCTTCTTAAACGACCCATTGCTGAGACTCAGTCCTACAAGATTCCTGAATTAAGAATCTCAACATGAAAGTGTCAAGAATGATCCCAACCCAAATCATTTTTACTGCGTCACTCCTGGGCA